AGCGGAGGGGAAAGTGAATGGCGAAGGACGGAAAGTGTCACATTCACAGGCGCTGAGCTGAGCGCGGCGGAGCGACCCGGCCTCACACCCCCCCCGCCCCAGAGAAGAGGAAAAGGGGTGGTTCAGTGGCTGTGCCGAGGCGTCTCAGCCTGTGCTGTGCGCGCCAGCGGCGTGGGGTGGGGGTTGTGTGTGCGGTGCCTCTCCCCTGGGTTGCATGCAAAGCTAACTGTGTGGCTGCCCCTCTCCCAGCCGGGGAATTGCACTCTTAAAATAAACCCGGTACAATGCACCAGCCTGACTCAGCCGCAGACATTAGTGCTAGGAAGATGGCGCACCCGGCAATGTTTCCTAGAAGGGGCAGCGGCAGCTGCGTTACTGCGCTCAGTGCACCAGGTACCGGCGCCGGTAGCGGTGCCCTCTCCACCGAGGATTATTCACCGCCTCTGCTCATCCAGCCGCCGCCTCCGTCTCTTGCAGCATCTTCCTCGGCGGGTCCACAGCCTCCTCCACAAAGCCTGAACCTCCTCGCACAGTCTCAGCTCCAGCCACAGCCTCTTGTACAGGCTGGTGCCCAAATAAAAAAGAAAAGTGGCTTTCAAATTACCAGCGTGACCCCTGCTCAGATCTCTGCCAGTATGAGCTCTAACAACAGCATAGCAGAGGACACGGAAAGCTATGATGACCTGGATGAGTCCCACACCGAAGACCTGTCTTCTTCAGAAATCTTGGATGTTTCTTTATCTAGAGCCACAGACTTGGGTGAACCTGAGCGGAGCTCCTCCGAAGAGACTTTAAATAACTTCCAAGAGGCTGAGACTCCTGGGGCTGTCTCTCCAAACCAGCCTCCCCTTCCTCAGCAGCATCCCCCTTTGCCTCATCATCCACAGCAGAGTGTTGTGATCAATGGAAGTGTTCATCCACATCATGGTCATCACCACCACCACCTTCATCATCACCATCATGGGCATCATCATCCATCACATCCTGGGGTGGGAAGTACACCAGCCTCTGGAGGGCCACCCCCAAGTCCATCATTTAGAAAACTGTCCACAACTGGAAGCATTGACAATGTTATCACAACTGCACCAAGTTCTGCTGCATCATCCACTGGTACACCGGCATCTGCGTTGTCCAATATTCGCACTACAAGTACTCCTGGCAATATAGGCGTAAGTCCTGTTACTGGAACTAGTACATTAAGTAATATGGCCGGTGGCGGTCCTAGTATGACGAGCAGCATGCTTGGTAATGTTAATATAAACTTAAGCAACATCACAAGTACTGCTAGTGTACATGCTTTGTCTGGACCCAGCAGCAATGTTAATTTGAATATCTTGAGTGGTGTTGGCAATGGTACGAGTGCTTCCTCTAATGTCATTAATAATGTTACTAATCCAACTGCAGGAATGGCAGTGGGATCAAGTCAGCAGCAGCCTGCAGCTGGCACATCAAGGTTTAGAGTTGTAAAATTAGATTCCAGTTCTGAACCTTTTAAAAAAGGTAGATGGGTATGCACTGAATTCTATGATAAGGAAAACACTGTAGCAGTTACAGAAGGAGTAGCAGTAAACAAAGCAGTAGAGACTATAAAACAAAATCCACTTGAAGTGACTTCTGAAAGGGAGAGCACCAGTGGGAGTTCTGTTAGCAGCAATGTAAGCACACTGAGTCACTACACAGAAAGTGTGGGAAGCGGGGAAATGGGAGTACCAACTGTGGTACAACAGCAGACATTTCAAGGTGTGGGTCCACAGCAGATGGATTTTAGTAGTGCTGGACCTCAGACTATTCCAGCATCCAACATGCCACAGAGTATTTCTCAATCACAGCTTGCACAGATTCAGTTGCCTTCTCAAGAAGTAAACTATCCTCAGCAAAAGCAAGGAGTTCTGCCTTCAGTGCAGCCTGGTCTAACAGCTGTTACTGGTGTTCAGCCAACCCCGGTTAATGTAGTAGGCGTATCATCTTTAGGTCACCAACAACCTGCTATTTCAAGTGTTGCTCAACAGCAGCTACCCTATTCTCAGTCAACACAGCCTGTGCAAACATTGCCTGTTGTACCGCCACAGCAGTTACAGTATGGACAACAACAGCCACTTCCTACGCAGATGGCCCCAGCGCGGGTTAAACCAGTGAATCAGAGTTCTGTTACAGGGACCATGACAGACTATGTACAACATCAGCAGATACTTCAGCCTCTAGTGCCTGCTGTGCAATCCAGCTCTACAGGAGTAGGAGCAGGACCACCGGTTCCTGTTGCTCAGGCACCAAGCATCCAACCTTCTGTACAAGTGCATCCTGCTGTGGCACCAGCTCAGCCTGTTGCACATACTCAGACAGCAATGCCACCAGGAGGTACTGGTGGTCAAATTATCAACATTGGACATCAAGGAAATGTACCTGCTGTGGTGCACCAGCCACCTGTTGCAAACCAAATGACGCCTTCAGTTATGCAGCAGAGTGGTGCTCCTCCATCTTCACAAGTGGTGCAACCTGTTCAGACTGGGATAATTCAGCAGGGACTACAAGCTGGTACTTCCAGCCTTCCTCAGCAAATGGTCATCGCTTCTCAGAATACTTTACCTGTGCAACCCCAGGCACAAGTAGAAACTGTGGTTCAAGGAATGACCAGCCAAACATTGCCTGCAGTTAGCCCTATACCTTCTGCTAGTACTGTTCCTGCTCCAAGTCAAGCTAGTTCAAATGTACCTCCTGGAATACCTTCTGCTCCTGTAAGTTTGGGTCCATCACAGAACATAGCACAAGCTTCAGCTGTACAAAATGGGAATATGGTTCAAAGTGTTAATCAGCCTCCCTTGATATCAACTAGTATAAGTATGCCAGCGGCACAGAATGTGTCACAACAGATAGCACTAGGCTCCACTCAGTTCTCTGCACAATCGCTAACTCAGGCAATTGTAAGCCAAATTGAAGATGGCAGGCGCCCTACAGAACCTTCCTTAGTTGGTTTACCTCAAGCTGCTAGTGGTGAAAGTGGTGTTGGAGCATCAGCTGTTTCAGATGGGAGTGGCAGCAACATAACATCCTCTGCTTCCCTTTTTCCACTGAAGGTACTGCCATTGACAACACATCTTGTTGATGGTGAGGATGAGAGGTAAGATCATGCCACTAATTTTCCAAAGAAATCATATCACTTTTATGTACATTAGTTTGCAGTTACCATTGCCTTGATTTAATAAGATGACTGCATAATATTGCAGATACAGTTGTGATACCTGGTTTGTTAAAAACACAGTTTATCAAATCATGTTTATACTGTGTTAAAATTCGTATATTGCTTCTCTTCTAAGGGAGTGAATTGTATTGATTACCCTCCGAAACTGTTACATGAGTACACTGTACATGTGTAACAAGACCTAGCATGGTGTGTACTTCATTATATTTTACTAAACATAGTATCTATAGCTGACTGGAAATGTATACTTTGGAGTGTGGTGATATACTTTATAAATATTTTAAGTTTTTTGGGGAGCAATTCTTAAATCCAATTAACTATCAGATTTATTTTTAGGTAACTTTACAAGCCCCAGTGTTCTCTAAATCTTGACTACATCATGGCTTGGTCTGCTGTGAATGAATGCCTTATGAAAGGTTTGGGCTTCCAACAACTGTCCACCACTTCTGGCAGTTTGGGGATGGAATGGGGATGGTGTTGGTCAGGAGAGGAGGTTATTTTGAAACGAATTGTTAAGACTTGTTTGACCCTGAACATTTCCTCTGAATGTTCTCTGTGACTGCTCCTCCCTTTTTCTGTTCTTTGAGCCCAACCGGAGGCACTTGCATGTTTTGTTCCTGGAATTTCCAGTGTAAATTCTTTCTGTTGCCCAAGTTGTTGAGCTCTGAACAGGGAGCATAGGCCTTTGAAATTGATGTACTTGTACTACAGTCTGTCAGATGAACCATCGTTAAACGTTGTTTAACGTCGTTAAACCACATTTTAAACATGAAAGGTTTGTTTTGTTTTGTTTTTAAAGGTGAGAAATGGATGTCTTAGTTTGTGTGTGCTGGTTTCTTTGGCAACGTATGCAGTGTATTTAGGTCACTTTCAAAGGTTTCTGCTCCCTGTACAGAATGTAGGAGCTTTGGCAACAGCCATCTATAACCATTATTATTTAATATTTAGTGTCACAGTTGTGTCTGGTAAATCCAGCTGGGATTTGGGCCCTACTGTAATTAGCTCTGTACAAATGCATATGAAAGCATGATACTTTTACCAAAGAATTTACAGTCTTAGCAGAAGAAATTCAATTCATGGGAGAGGTGGGTACCTTAGGATGAAGTTTAAATATGCTTGAAAATGTAGGAAGAAGAGGACATAATAGAAGGAAAGAATCAGGCTTAGGAAGTGAAAAATACAGTAGAGAATACAGTCTCTTGGTCGTCTCTAGCTCCTTCTTGGATGCCACAAGGAGAGGTGAGGGGTTCTTGTTTTGTTTTTAAATTTAAGTTCATACAATCATTTAAGGCATGAAAAATAGCAGAGAACACATTTGTCGCATTTGTGGTAGATACCAGGATCATAAAAGGTTAGATATTAATGTTAATATTATAGCAGCAGTCTTTGATACTGTTGATCATGAGATGCTGACATGCTTAAGGTACTTTTAGCCACTCTAAAATATCAGAGGGTTAAAAGGGGTAGCTTCTCATTTTCTATGAGGCTCTCACAGGAGAGGTCTCACAATATTCCATTGTTGGCATCCTTTCTTTTCAACAGTATGTGAAACTGGAAGAGGGGGTATTGAGATGTTATGGGCCTACTGTGTCCCCATTATGCTGATGATGCTCACTTTTGTGGGATTTTTTTTGTTTTATATTTTCCCTTAAAGAACCTGAACATTGCTCCAGAGATGAAAGAAGTAATAAACCAGTTAATTTAGGAGTATGCCTGTTGATATTAGTGGTTTTTTTGAGACACAATACGGGCATGTGACTGCATGCTAATTTTGAGAGTAGAAATACACGGTCTTTCACAGTTGGTAGATTTGTTCGTAGTTCTTGTAGTAGCAATAGCTGGAAATGGTGGCACCTTATACTTGGCTGGTCAAAGAGTGCGTCCTTTTCTCTCCCATGTGAGCCATGTACTGGTTATCTATGTCTTTGTCATCTCCAAATAAACTACTGAAATGTGCTCTTCATGTAGAGTAGAATATTACTGCAAGCTTTTAAAGACCTGCAGACAGATGAGACTACTATCAGTGTGCACTCACTGATTGCCAGTGAACTTCTTGTTCAAAGATACTGATTATATACAGATGTTCTAGCACCTGGCTATCTGAGATTGTCTCTCCTCATGTATCCGTTTTCAGAATATTCCATTAGTGGGAATGCTTTTGCTTTCCATTTGCAGATGAATTCTTGATTTACTGCTGAGGTATCTTCAGTACCAGATCCTTGCCTCTGGAATGCCTTTTCACTTACAATCTATCAGACCCTATGTCTTGTCACTTTCAGGAAATAATGCAAGCTGCAACTCTTTGGTCTGGACTTTTTCTTATCTTCACAGCTGCTGGTGTGGGGTATATGCATTAAATTAGATGCCTTCTATTTTGGGAAACAATATCGTTGCATAAATTGACTCTATGTACTTAAGAAATAAGTACCCTAAAATATGTGTAAATAAGTAAACTAAAACCAGGTGATTCTAGACTTCAGATATTCATCTTAAATCAGAAAATGTTGTGGATATGTATACGTTCCAACTGGTTCCAAATCTGACAAGGGAAAATGCAGAAGAAAAAAAAGTAATAGAATAATGCTGTGACACAACATAATTGGAATGGTGAAGAAGTTGTAAAATTCCATTGTGAGCATGCATCTGAAGAAATGTCCAACCTATGTAATATCTTGTGTAAATTGTATCCCAGCTTTCACTGGAGCCATTTTATAATTGCGTGTAAACTTGTGTCAGTGTCTTATCTTAAAATTGTTAACCTAGTTACTTATTTAGAGAAGTGACTTCACTCATTCCCGTGCCCTTTATTAGTATAAAGGCTGTTAAATACTCTGCTGGGTTATCTACATTCTTTTAAGAGAAGAGAGAATTTTCTCTCTCTGAAATCGTAGCTGGTATTTCCCCAATATAAGTCAGACTATATATATGAAAATGTAGCAGAGAAAACATAAAAAAGAACTTAAAGATGAACTCTCTGGCAGGATATCCTGTTGACAATTACTCTATAAACTTCAATTATTAATGAGCGAGGATAAAAGAAATGATGTTATAGCTGCCATGTTAATAAGGTGTTTTCTTTAGTTGCTATTCTTTCAGCCTGTCAGATACAGTTTGATTTTTGACATGTCAAACTCTAGAGTTTGACATTTGTCCTAATAGCTCAATTTTCTAAAATATAGGCAATCTCCTTTGTTTTGTGTTTAGGTAGTTTTTTTTCTTATCATGGTACATCTTCTTCATATTTTTTAGTTTATATAGTTGGTACGTGTGTCAAGTTTAGAGAGAGAGATTGCTTATTAAATAAGTCAATTTCAAACAATCTTCAGATGTTTTAATTATGGAGATTTTAGCCTAAAATTTTTTTCTTCATTCTTTTGCTTTTAATGCCCTTGACATCTTTCAAATAGGTAAACTGATCTTAATATTTTTCAGTTACATTTTCATGCATATAGACTTTGCATTGCAAAGTGAGTCAAGCTAACATCTTCCTAGACAGTATGTTTTGAACACACTATTCAGATAAAAAGTTCATAATGGAAATCTATGGATGCAATAAACAACATAGCTCTGAGTATTCAGTTTACACGAAAATACAAAATTTAAATATATTGCAGTATTTGTACGAATTTTTATAGGTAGAGAGCTAGCTTAACTCACCCTTTTTTGTTTGAGTTGTTTCTTCATAAATGTTGCTTGTATTGATGGTAAAGATCAAACAAGTAAACCTTTTTCTATACTTGTTTTCTTCATACACTTGAGAGTGCTTTATGTATAAATCACTTTCACTGCTTTCTCTGTTGTCAGTCTGTGTTTTCAGGTGTTTGTGTGCATGTCTCTTTCACATAGCAACAGCACAAGGGAAACTATTTTGAGAAGTAGAAAAATGATTTTCTCCAAAAACTGGTATGTAGACTTAGACATGTGTAGTGCCTGAAATTATTATTTTTTGGAGTAGATTTCAGATTGCTGATATGTCTTTAAAATTGGACTGGTGGCTGTCAGTGAGAAGTTGGCCTGTGTATTGGCCCGAGGGTTCTTGAAATTATGGAAAGGGTGGATGGTTAAAGCCAATTCAAGTGAATTAAGCATGTGTAGAAAAAATACTAGCTGCAAGTGAATACAGTCAGGAGATAGGGGACATTTTACAAGAAAGATTAAAGTGTATATAATGTAGACTCCCAGGGACAACTGAACAAATGAGAGTTTACAGATGTTGCTAACGCACCTGTGGTAAGCAGGTGAGCTCACAGAACTGTGAGCATAGTATGAACCTTTCTCTTTTGAGGCACATTCTTAATGCTTTGTGTTACAACTTAGTGAATTTATATGGAGCTTGTTTTCAAACTGAGATTTTAATAATATTTTATACTTCGTTAATTAAAGTTGTGGGGGAACTGCCTGTAGCATAGTATTAAACAGTTTGTGCTGAGCTTCTGAATTTGAGTAAGTTGTAACACTAGGCTTTCAGCACTACCTTTGTTACAATCCTCCCATTTCAGAAGCTAAATTTATCTGTAGAAATTTGTCATGTATTTGCATCCCAGAAGAGCATGTTTGAGTCTTATTTTAATAGATTTTTCATAATTCAGTTTTGTTACTAATATAACAGGAAAAATATACTTTCCTGCTCACCAATAGAGTCAGACTGGCAAATAGAGAAGGTAGTTTTGTCTAATGATGCAAAGGGCACTCCTTTGCCATGTTATATTGACTAGCTCCGCTCTGCCCATTGACGTAGAATGGCAAGAATAGACAGGAGTGACTTTCCCTGTTATCCCTGCTTTGCTGGAAGGATATTTGTGTGAGGAGGCATCAGGGGACTCAACTCCATTCCATACAGCAACTGCTTTTTGAAAGAAGTTCCAAGTCTGTGTCCCAATTACTTCCTCCAAGAGTCATTGTTCCCCTTGTGCATGATC